CCACATGCTGTAATTCCTAAATTCCTTACTTTGCACATGTAACATTTTGGTTACTTTGGTGTAATACTTTCTAGTCCTTTTTTATGCGTAAATATTATCTACAAGTATAAGCATTTGTAATCTTTGTGTGTATGTGGTTTTGGGTTTTTTTGTGTGTTTTTTCATTCTCATGTGGATGAAAAAGCATGAAGAAAAGAAAAAAGATCGAGAGGAATTTTTTACCCTCTTTATTTCATCTAATCATCAAGGGTTTTAATAATTTCAAAGTAGTATATAATCTTTTTCTTTGATGGAAATAATAATATACTTTAATTTCCCCATCAGACAATTTTTTTGCCATTTATGATGGAATAGTTCTTACGGAAGTGTTCCTAAGTGTTGCACTACTAACCAAAAAGTCATAGAGAGAAAGACTGGCAGTCTCCTCCTCTAAAGATTTCAGACTTTAAAAGCTAGAACTTATTGCTGTGGAGTCAGAACCAACTCATAGCCGAACCTCCCCAGCGGATCTCCAAAGCTGTAAGTCATATTGCAGGAGATTGCCCATCTTCCCATGGAGCTGCTGGTGGGTTTAATTTACAAGTGCAGACTGGGCTGGTTGTACAGCTCTCTGTAGACTCTACCACTGCAGCTCCATCATAAAGCTTTACACCATTGCAATTTATGGAAAACTCAGTATAGAGTCAGTATGAGTCAGAAGCAACTCAACAGCAGTGGTTTCATTAGGGGAATTTCTTTGCAGTTTGTAAGAATTATGATGTACAGATCAGATTCTTTTTACTGATGCTGAATGATGTTCTAATGTATCGCTATAGCATATTTGCCTTTCTGTGCATGACCATTTTTTCCTTAGAAACTGTGCTATAAGACAAATCTTTGTGTTTTTTGGTACTCATAGGCAATTTCTCAAGGATTTAAACCTTAAAATGTATTTGGTTGGCTTCACATTAGAACATTTTCAATATTCATAGGTAACACCAAATTTGCCTCCATAATACCTCTAATTAATTTATGGGTTTCGTTTCCCTACTTTCAAAACCAACATTAGCGTAATATTTTTAATATTTGCCTTTGTGATGTTGGATTGTTGTCATTGTAAATCACCCTTTTTTTTTTTTAAGAGCAAATATGCTTTGTTGAAATCAGGCTGGGGCTCAACTGGCCTCAGCTGTAAATCACCATTGAGTCAGAACCTAGTTGTATTTTACCTTCCAGTAGGTTTTCAGGGGCTATATGTCATAGAGGAAGCAATTGCCTATTTTTCTCCTAGGGAGCAGCTGGTAGATTAGTACTGCATACCTTTGGGTTAGCAGCACCTACTAGCCTACCTGAGCTCCATGAATGAAAAGGATATTCATTTTTCTTTTCATTTGTTTAATTACTGAGATTTGACACTCTGTCCATCCTACACCACCCCTCACAAGCATAAGTATTATAACCACTGTTTCAATCAACTTATCAAGGGTCTCCTTTGGTGGTGGTTTTGTTTTGAACCCTTGGGGAGGGGGTTGGTCCTGCCTGATGACAATGGCCAAAGTAAGTGAGATGAATTCTCACCACCCTTGCATCTAAGGAACATTCCAGCTCTTTTTCTTCCAAAATAGATTCATTTGTTATCTCTATCTCTGTTTCTTCCAAGATAGATTCATTTGTTCTCCTGTGAATCTTTGTCAGCACTACAAATTCATCAACTTTTCAGTCTTCCTTTTTCATTTTCTGGCATTCATATGCATGTGAGACAATTGAAAAGACCACGGCTTGAGTTAAGTGCATCCTTAAAGTGACATCTTTGTATGTTTAAACTTTAAAGAGGTCTTTTGCCAAGTTCACGCTGATTCTTATTTATTTGTTAAGGTTATACTTAATAGAAAAATGTAAGCCAAGAATTTACATGTTCTCATTGTCTAATGAACAGATTCATTTAAAGTTTAAATATTTCCCTACATGCTATTCTATCAGAATCAATAAGTTTGAGTTGTTTTATTTTGTTCTTTAGTTAATGATAGCTTAATTAGAAATGAACTCTGGACCCAGACTTTTTCCCCTTAATACTTTACATCTAGAATTTATTTCTACTAAGTCTGGTTACCATGCTGATACCTGTTCCTTTGTAAATAATCTAGATTTTTCTTTTAAAGGCTTGTGAGACTTAATAGTTATTTTTGATGTTCTGGAAATCTTAAAGAGTTTGTCTTGGATTGTGAACTAAGACGCTTATCCTGCTCAACATACTGTGGGAACTTTTACCAATTTGCTTTGCCTGTTGGGGAAATTCTTCATTATTATCGCCTCTTCTCCATATTCTATCTTATTTTCTCCTTAATCTTAATATTATTTTGTTCTGCCTTCTGGGTGAGTTACTTAGCTCAGTGTTCCAGGTTACTGAATTTTCCATTGAGTCTCTTCTGTTATTGAGCCATCTGTTAAATTTATCTCAGCAAATAATTCTGCACCAAAGATACCTAATTTGTTATTTCTTCACAAATATATGTTATTTGTTGTGTTTAATGCCCTTCTTTAGCTCTTTGAGGATATTTTTCTTGGTTATCTGTTGCTACTGTAACCGATGAATGAATGGTTTCAACAGACAAATTTATTCTTTGACAATTTAAGAGTCTAGAATCCAAATTCAGGAATACTTACTCTAGGAGAAGGTTTTCTCTCCTTCTTAGCTCTGAAGGAGAGTCTTTGTCTCCTTTCAGCATCTGTGGGGCTGGCATTCCTGGGAGATTTCCACATGCCTAGCATCCGTCTTTCCCTGGGCCCAGAAGATTCTCTGGGATATTGGGTTCATAGACTGCATTTTGCTCTTAGATCTTTTTTCTAAATAGTAGTCAGGTCCCTGCATGTCTGCTCATTTAGCTGACTCCAGGGAAACTCCACTTCCTTTGTATCAGGACTCTGACATGAGTAAGGATGTTTGTTATATCTCACTCCAGTCACCTTGCAACTGATTGGCTGATCCCATCATTAAGTCATGTAACTTGCACTCCACTCAGAATCATGGTCCACCCCCAGTTAACACATATTTTGGGAGTACCTAGTTTAATGCTTGACAATATAACATGAAAATACTTTGATTTAAAATTGTTCCTGGATATTCATTCTCTTGAATACAAGTCCTTCAGATTGGTGGACTTGTTAAGTCTTGGGATAGCCTTCCTGGGATGTCCAGTAACTCAGTGAGGTATTCGTCTTCTCTATATTCCTTCCTGGTCTGTGTTGTGATGGCAGTTGGCAGGAGCAGCCTCAGCATCCACCCATCTGTTTCCCTTTCCCCAGGGAGGCCTCACAGGCTTGGTCCTTAGAGAGTTCTTTTTGTTTATGTGATTATGTACTTTCTGTTTTTAAAACTTCCAACATGTCAATGAATTTGATTTGGAGGTGGAAAAAGAATTCACCATATGCTTGACTTATATTTGGAAATTTTTCATCCATTTTTTAACCTAGTAGTAGTTCTACCTCTGGCTGTTTATTCTAAGGAAATATTGGATATAGAGAAAGTATATTTGTTTCCACTTGATTTGTAATACTGCACAAACAAATAATATAAATAATGTCCAGGGAGGATTTTTGCACTTGTGTTGTGATTGGGTACCATCAGCTGACTATGCCTTCAACGCAGCCCTGTGAACAGCACATCTGATCCCTGTTCCATCCTGCACCAGCCTCGTGATGTCTGATACACTTGAGCCCATGCACTGTGTCAGTCTGTCTTAGTGAGGGTCGTCTTCTGTTTCACTGACCCTTTACTTTTCCCAGAATAATACCTTTTCCAAAGATTGACCTCTTTTGGTAATCTGCCCAAAGTATGTGAGACCAAGTTTCATCATTCTTGCCTCCAAAGAGCACCTAGATTTCATTCCCTCCAAGACAGACGTGTATTTTTTTTAGCAACTCATGGGATATTCAGTGTTCTTGGCCAACACTACAACTCAAAGGCATTTATTCTCCATTTATCATCATGTTGCCTGTTGGTCCAGTAGTAAGGAATTTTGTTTTCTTGATTTTGGGTTATAATCCATATTGAAGGCTGAAGTCTGTCATCTTTGGTAAGTGCTTCAAGTTATCTTCACTTTCTGCAAGCAAGGTTGTGTCATCTGCATAATGTGAGTTGTTGATAAGTCTTCCTCCAATTCTGATGCCACATTATTCCTCTTGTAGTCCAACTTCTAAAATTACTTGTTCAGCATAGAAATTGAATACATATGGAGAAAGGATACAACTTTGACAACTTTTTGCACTTCTTTTTGTTGTTAGGTGCTGTCAAATCAAGTAAGACTCATAGTGACCCTCATTTTAAAGTTGCGTACCAGAAGAATAATGATAAATGCTAGCTTTTATTATTTGCCAGGCACTCTTCTAAGTTCCTCACAACAACCTTATAAAGCATTTAATATTATGCCCAGTTTAAAAATATTTCTAAAATGAAATACTCAAATTACTAATTAACAGTGAGTCTCAATGTTAATTTACAAGTATTAACTATTCATGGTGTGATTATGATTCTTTTCTCTAATTTTTTAAATTTTGATATTTTGCAGAATTTCTCTAGTTATGTATTCTTCTTGTAAATTATTTGTGTTGTTGTGACATATTTTCTACATATTTTGCTTTTTACAAATATACACTATTGTTTTCTTTACAGAATGTTATCCATTTGTGGATGAGAAGATGGCGTTATTTTTTTGGTGTTTTTTTTTTAAATCATTGATGATCTAATATGACTGTAAACATCTACTTTATGAAGTTTCATAGACTTGTCATATGTTGGACTATTGATCATTTATGAAAATTTCTTCAACCACAGTTTCTGTTTGAAAATTTGAGCATAAAAAAAAATCCTTTTTAAAATTGTATAATGTTGCTCTTTGCCGGAGAACTGTAAATTTCAGAGACCACCTTTGTATTCCAGTAATATTCTCCAATCAAATTTATATCATTCATCCTTTTTTGCTAAAGCTAATTTTCAGTTTTATATTTATAAACAACACTAGAAGATGGGAGAAAAGAATGGTAAGTGGAAGAATATATTGTTAAACTTTATATTTTAATGTAGACAAGTTAATTTTGTTAATGTTCAAGATTTGTTGATGGAATTAACGAGTTTAGTCTCACGTTGTTGTTGTGTACCTGTTGTGGCCTGTCAAGTTGTAACAGGCTCATAGCTGACCCTCCAGGAGGTTTTCAGAGGCAGTAAATTGCATGTGAGAAGACTGCCCATCTCTCTTCTGTGGAGCAGCTAGTGGGTTTGAACCACATGTGTTTGGGTTAGAAGTGCAACTCCCTACCACTGAGCCACCACAGCTCCCTTAGTCTCATGTAGCCACAAATTTTCACTATCTTTATAATTAATCTTGTATCAGTAATCCTAAATCAGTAATTTAATGTACTTCTTTTTAAAAATAGACTTAATTTTTCTAGATCTTTTTTTTAGACTTACCGAAAAATTCAAGTTGTATATACACTGTTCTTTATTGTTTCTGGATGCTCTGCACCCAGTTTTCCCTGTGGTTAATATCTTACATAGTGTGGTCCATTCGTTACCATTCATAAGCATTATTATTAATTAAACCCAAAAACTTGTTTCAATTTCTTTTGGTTTTGCCTAATGGATTCTTTTGTCGCATGATCCCACACAGGACACCAGATTATATTATTGCATTTGTCACCTTTTGGCTGTGATAATTTGTCTGACTTTCCTTTTTTTTTATGATCCGCAACAGTTTTATGGAATATTGGTGTGATGTTCCTGTTGTGGCTCTGCTATTTTTCTCCTTAGAGTGGTTTTTGGGAGTGATACTACTACAGAGTATCAAGGGTACATATAATAATGTGATTCAGTAATTTACATATTGACCTTGTTTGCTTGGCTGTTATTGTATTGCCAGATTTCTCCATTCTTTTTTTTTTATCCCTTTCCAGACTGTATTTTGTGGAAGAAAATCTTTACAGGGCACATTTAAAGAATGAGAGCAGTCGATAGATAGATAGATAGATAGATAGATAGATAGATAGATAGATAGATAGATAGATAGATAGATAGATAGATAGGGGGGGGAGGCAGACAAACAGACAAATTGATTATTTGGAATATTCTGCAAGGTAGATGTGTCTCATTCATACCATAAGTAAGGCTCATGGATATTTATTTTACACTTTGGGTTATAATTCAGTATTTTTTTTTTTATTTTCTTGCTTAAATTGTTCCACCTTTGGCCATTGGGAATTTTTTGGATTGAAGCCTGTGTTCCTTGGACATACCCGCATCAATATAGGCTTTATTTTGTTTCCACTTCCTTATTTTCTGGTATATAGGATCATCAGTTATCTATTTCCTGCTCTAGTCCTGGAATCATTGTTTGAATGAGCCATGGTTTCTGTCATTAGACTACGCCCTGAAGAAACCAAGATCTGGCTGATACATGTGTTGCTACTCAAGTGGCTTCTCAGCTGAAAATGCAGTGAAGTATAGTTGTCCCTTGTTTTTCTTCTTTTTTTAAATTTTTTTTTTTTTAAGTTTTACTTTATTATCTTTTTTGTGTGTGTACCATCAAATTGGATCTGACTGGTACAGGAGGAGATTGTCCCTCCTTCTCCAGCAGAGCATCTGGTGGATTTGAACTGTGCAACTCTGGGATTGCAGTGCAGCTTCTTGCCGCTAGGCCACCAGAGCTCCCCGTCCCTTGTTTTTCTAACATTTGATTTAAAATCATTTTTACAAAGAGCAACATTCATACTTGTTTTAACTAACCAAGAGACATGCAAAGAAGATTTCACTTTTATGGAAAAGACAGAAAGCAAGCCTTTTAGGAGATAGGACTCCCCCCAGCAGTGAAAGTGACATTCCTTCCCAGGGAATCCGCTCAGCATCAGACACATATAGCCTTGAATAAGTCTGTGGATACCATATGTCTGTGTTGTTTTCATTTTTATGTGTTTCTTGGTATGTTTTTTAGGTTTAAGAATACTCAAAAATGTTTCCCTTAGAAATTGATGATTCTTTGTACTGTTTCAGCTCAAGAAAAGTTTCATAGTAATAATCTATTGCCTAGTGGGGAAACCTCTATATGTAATAACCAGGGGTTTTCTATAAGCAACCAATATAGATGCTCCCAAATTAAGTTAGGCATGAGTTTATGCTTCCATTTCCAACTCTAATCCATGATCACATGGATTATTCTATTCTAGCTTCCTATTTGTAAGCTCTCATTCCAACAGAGAAAAACCTGCCTTCCACTATCCATTAAATCAGCTACTCAATTCCAGTACACAGATGTGGCAAAAGCAGGATTTTTTAATGACCTAAGAAGTAACCATATTAATTAGAATGCTTATGCACAGGTCTTACTGTCTCACCTTAACATATTTTACTCTCCATTCCAAAGTTACTTAGGTCAGCACCTTTCCCTCCTGCCCTCAAGCAAGGCTTTCTTGCATTCCTAATACAAGTAGATGTTCTTGTCATGGTCTGCATTCCTGTCTAGGAACCTCCTAAATGAGATTAATAAATTTGAACCCGTTAAGAGGGAAAATTGATGCCTTTGAGCTGTGGTGCTGAAGAAGAGTATTGAGGGTACCATGGACTAGGTAGAGCAAACACATTGATCGTGGAAAGGGTCAAACCGAGCGGCTCCTTGGAGGCAAGGATTCTGAGGCTCCGTCTAACATACTTTGGACATCTTGTAAGGAGGGACCGATCCTTGGAGAGGGACATCATGCTTGGTAGGGCGGAGGGACAGCGCAGGAGGGGAAGTCCCTCTATGAGGCGGATTGATTCAGTGACTGGGGTAATCGGGATGGGTTTATCAGAGACGGTGTGATTGGCACAGGGCAAAGCAGAGTTTAGGGCTGTTGAAAATAGGGTCCCTATGAGTCACAAGCGACTCAACGGCACATAACAACAATATTTACTATTTGTGCTTTGCATTTTTCTAGGTTTTGTTAAGTGCGTTGATTTTATTTTGCTCCACATTTTCCTAACACTGTGTTCAGGACCTCATATACTTTTTCCACACAATTGGTAGGTGTAACTTTGCATCATCTAGTTCTAGTCTCAGGAGTTAACATTAACATGGTTCATTAGTCCTCTGAACCAGTTGTTGCCATATGTCTTTGATTTTCTTCATATGTCTTTGTTCCATACAGATGCCTGCTAACAGGCTTTTATGATCGCACTCAATACCCACCACAAAGGCATGTAGAAAAAATACTCTGTGGATAAAGCTGTCCCAGATGACTTTCTTAAGAACATTCTTGAGTGAAATTGTTAAAAAAATATCATTAACATGACCGTTTGATGTCACTGCTTTGATTCATGCTAAGACACCAACAGTTGATTTTTTTTTTTATCTTTTTTTTCCCCTCCTCGTATACATTTGTTTCAAATATTGAAACCTTGACTCACCTGCACTATGGGAGGTTCAAAGTAGAGTGCACTTGTGTACTATGCAAGGACAAGGACCAAAGTGTTAACAAGGAGGTAGCATCCCTCCTGGGCCCATCACAATGATGGTTTTTGTAGTTATTGTTGTGTGCCATTGCGTCAGAACCAACCCATAGCTGACCCTCCCGCAAGTTTTCATAGGAAGTTAATTTAATGGGAGGAGATTGCCCACCTTTCTCCCATGGAGCAGTCAGTGTGGATTAGAACTGGGTGCCATGCAGTGCCGTATTACAGTGACAGCAACACTAATTAGCCAGAGATGTCCTTTGGGGAAAGTTTCTTTCCCAGATGAAATTGGGACTCCAGGATCTAGGCCTCACTCCTGGCGAAGATTCTCTCTTTATTTACAAGGAAGAGATCCTAGATGCCATTTTTATCAAGGAAAATGTATTATTATTATACATTAACTTGGTTTTCTGCCCATTAAGTTTTTCTGTGGTTTCACAAATGAGCTTTATAAAATGAAAATCTTAATCTATCCTTCCTTTGCTTAAGGCACTATTAATTTTCATAGCTTAGCTATGATTTTATGTTAGCTTTAGCGTTTTAAAGTTTGCATAAAACAACAGGTATTTTTTTAAATTGCTTTGAAAAATATGCATTAAATGAGAGATTTTGCTTTGGTCAATTAATTTTATTTGCCTTCCTCATTCTGTTTTTTGCTTTAAAAGGATTATTTCTAGGAAAATTTTAATTCAGGCATAAGTAACTTAATGGACTTCAAAAAAATGACCTTCTCTTTATAAAAACTTTTTAAACATCATTTTGATTTGTTTTATGATTTTAAAGTAAGCTCTGGTGCCCTCGTGCTAGGGAGTTGAGATACCAACCCAAAGGCAACTGGTTCAAATCCACCAGCTGTTGCTCAGGAGCAAGATGGGCCATCTCCTCGTGGGCAGTTGACAGCCTCTAAAACCCGCTATGGATCAGCTATTAGTCAGTTCCACCTTAATGGCAATGAGTTGAATTTGTATTGTAAAGTAAATATAAAAAATGTTAAAAAGTAAGACTGACGGATACTTATAATTATTTCAGCCATTGTTGAGATGTTTTATTCCAAAACCATCCACTCACTCTCCTACTCAATGGAAATTGTATTGTTAAACATTTTAAAAGTTCTGTGTCTCTGTGGTTAAACCTTATTGTCACTGTAGAATGAAGTCATCCATTTTTTTCTAATCAAGAAATAGGGTCACTTAAATGTTAAATATCTTTTTAAAATTAGCAGAAATGAGATTATCAGATCATATTTTTTGGGGTTTCATATTTTTTCATGTTTCACAAAGAAACATGACTAAAATCTTTTTTGCTTCTGGGGAAGTGACAGACCAAACTGAATTTTTATTTTTCTCTGACATGCATTTTGGGGAACTTAACAGTCTACTCTAGTTGCCCTCTTGGACTTTTCCCCCCCCCCAGGTGATGCAAAAACTTTCTGGATGGAGCTGGAAGATGATGGGAAAGTCGACTTTATATTTGAGCAAGTACAAAATGTTCTGGAATCATTAAAAAAAAAGATCAAAGATGGGACTGCCACAAATAAAGGTATTAAACAATAAAATACTTCACTTTGATGCTAAATATTGCTCACTGGGAGATGTTGTTGTTGTTGTTACAGATCTGAACCGTTTCCTATCCTGTGCCATCCTCATCATCTCTAACATTCTTGAGCTCATTGCTGCAGTCACTGTGTCAATCCATCTGGTTGAGAGCTGTCCTCTCTTTCACTGACCTTCCACTTTTCCAAGTATGATGTCTTTTCAAAGAATAGCCTCCTGGTAACCTGCCCAAAGTATGCAAAACGAAGCTTCACCATCCTTGCCTCTAAGGAGCACTCTGGCTACACTTACTCCAAGACATAAATGTTTGTTCTTCACAGTACCACACAGGTCAAAGTCATCAATTATTCATTTGTTATTCTAATTCATTGTCCAGATCTCAGATGCATGGCAGGTAATTGAAAAGACCATGGCTTAAATCAGGTTCACCCTCATCTTTAAACTGACATTGTTTTTCCAGACTTTGGAGAAGTCCCTGACAGCAGACTTTCCTAGTACAGTATGTCTCCTGACTGCTGTACCAAAGCTGTTGATGGTGGATCTAGGTAAAATGAAATCATTGACAACTTCAGTCTTTTGTTCATCTATCAAAATATTGGCTATTGGTCCAGTGGTGAGGATTTTGGTCTTCTTTATGTTGAGGTGCAATTCATATTGAAGGTGAAGATTGTAGTCCTTGATCTTCTGCAGCAAACAAAGTTGTATAATCCGCATAATGCTGATTGTTGATGAGTTGCTCCAATCCTGATGCCACATTCTTCTTCATAAAATTCAGTTTCTTGAATGATTTACTAAGGATTTCAATTGAATAGGTATGGAGAAAGGATACAGCCCTCATGCACACCTTTCTTTTTAAACTATGCAGTATTCCTTTGCACATTCCTTTGCTCTGTTCCGACAGCAGCTTCTTGGTACAGGTTTCACAAGATCACATCTGCGTATTGTGGGAGTCCCATTCTTAATGTTAGCCATAGCTTCCGTTTTTCTCTGCTTTGATTCAAATTCCATCTGATACTAGTAATGATATCCCTCTGCTAAACCTAGCTTGAACTTCTGACAGTTTTCTGTCACTGTTCTAGCCATTTTTTTATAATTTTTAGCAATATTTTGCTTACATGTGATATCAGTGATGTTCAATAATTTCCACATTCTGTTGGATTTCCTTTCTTAGGAATAGAAACATATACAGATCTTTTCTAGTGAGTCTAGGCACTGTTATTGTTAGGTGCTGTTGAGTCAAGTATGATGCTTAGCAGCCCTATAAAAAACAAATCTGCACTCTGTCCTCTGCCAACCTCACAATCTAATGCCCTCAAGCCCATCACTGTAGTCACTGTGTCAATCCAGCTGGTGGAAAGTCTTCCTCTTTTTTTGCCATACTCCGCACCTTTCCAAACATGGTGTTCTTCTCCAAGCCTTTCCTAGCAACAGGACCAAAGTATGTGTGACGAAGCTTTGCCATCCTTGCCTCTGGCTGCTCCATCTCCAAGACATATTTTTGTTCTTTTGGCAGTCCATGGGATATTCAGTACTCTCCTCCTACCCCACAATCCAAAGGCATCAGTTTTTCTTCTGTCATTCATTATCCAGCTCTCAGATGCATAGCAAATGATTGTAAAGGCCATAGTCTGAATCAAGTGCACCTTAGTCCTCAAACTAACATCATTGCTTCTCATTTATTTGGAGACATCCCTGACTGCAGATTTTGCCAGTCAAATTCATCTACTGGTTGCAGGTACCAAATGTATTTGTTGTAAGTCCAAGTAAGATGAAGTCATTGACAGTTTCAATCTTTTATCTGTTACGATGTTGCCTGTCTATCCAGTGGTGAGAATTTTTGTTTTCTTGGGAAGTAATCCATATTGAAGCCTACAGTGTTTGATCTTCTGCAGCAAGTGTTCCAAGACTTCCTCACTTTTATTTCAGATTAGGTATTAGTAAGCTGAAATGGACTGGCATTTGTCACCATGAATCAGATCATATGATCTCCTATGCTAGAAATGAAAAGTTGAAGAAGAATGAGGTTACATTCATGTTTAAAAGACCAATGCAAAATCTTTCTGAAGTGCATTACTGTATGTGACAAGATACTATCCAGTCATGTTCAAGGAAGATCTATTAATACATCTATCACACAAATAGACATACCAGCAGCTAAGGCCAAAATAGAGGGAAATGAGGAATTGTACCCACTTTTGTGGTCTGAAATTGACTAAAGATGCATTAATAATAATAATGCCTGGAATGCAGAAGGTGAAAGCAATGAGGAAGGACTCATAGTTAGAAAGTATGGCCTTAGTGACAGAAATGAAACTGGAAATTGAATGATTGAATTTTGCACATTCAAAGATTTATTTGTTGCAGATACCTTTTTAAAGAAACACAGATGGGTAACTATATACCTGGACCTCACCTGATGGACTACACAGGAGTTAAATTGACTATATCCTTGGGAAGAATTGTCAGATAAAAAGCAGGCTTAGTGCTGACTTACATATATGCATATTGAAGTTGAAGAAGAATTAAGTCAGCATGAAACAAAATAAGACCTTGAGCCTATCTCAACTTGAATTTATTAATCTACCCACCTATGAATTTAAAAATCATCTCAAGAATAGATATGACGCACTAAACACTAGTGCTCGAAGACCAGGTGAATTGTGGGATAACATCAAAGACCGTGTCCATGAAGAGAGCAAAAGTTAGTTACAAAGATACAGGAGAAAGAAAAGGCCAGAATGGACATCATAAGAGACACTCAGAATTGTACTAGAGCATCAAGAAGCCCATACAAAAGGAAGAAAAGCCAAAGTAAAAGAGATGAAGAAAATATTCCAAAAGGAGTTCCCCAGCGGTCCCATGGATCTTTCTCTAGCTTCAACAGTGTTTGGACGGAAGTGCTTGGATGGAACAGACCCGGCGAATCCCCCTTCCAGCCTCCAACTACCCTCCAACTTCATCTCCAGGCGTAACATCCAGATCATCTTAGCCATCTCCTATTTTTGGGACTAGCTAACACCATTTTTTTTGTTAGCCCCAAAACTCAACTAACTATGAGCTCTCAGATCCGTCAAAATTATTCTGCCGAAGCGGAGGCTGGTATCAACCATCTGGTCAACCTGCCTCTCTGGGTTTTTATTTGACCGTGATGAGGTGGCCTTGGAAGGTGTAGGACACTTCTTCCACAAGTTGGCGAAGGAGAAGTGCAAGGGTGCCGAGTGGCTCTTGAAGCTGCAAAACCAGTGCGGCGGCCGTGTCCTCTTCCAGGATATCCAGAAGCCATCCCAGGATGAGTGGGGTACACAGAACGCCATGCAAGCAGCACTGGCCTTGGAGAAGAACCTAAACCAGGCCCTTCTGGATTTGCACGGCATAGGTTCTGCCCACACTGGCCCCCATCTCTGACTTTCTGGAGAACCACTTCCTGGATGAGGAAGTGAAACTGCTAAAGAAGATGGGTGACCATCTGACCAACATTAGAATACTGGGCAGCCCCCAGGCTGGGCTGGGCTGGGCAAGTATCTCTTTGAGCGTTTCACCCTCAAGCATGGCTAGGGGACTGCAGGTACCTGTAGGGAGAACCTCTGTGTCTCCCTGCCATCAGCAGTAAGTTTCTCTTTCCCACCGTCCTGTAGAATCTTACCGACACAGAAGCCCTTTGCCCAAGCCTTGGACCAAATGAAACAATAGAGCTTTTTGCAACAACAACAATAAAGATTTCAAAAGGCAGCTCAAGAAGGCAAGGCAAAATATTAAAGTGGAATGTGCAAAGAGCTGCAATTGGAGAATAAAAACAGAATAATATGCTTGGCTTTTCTCTAGCCGAAAGAACTGAAAAATTAATCCAATCACAGAGTCATTATACAAAAAAGAATTGATCAACACTGAACTGTTTCAAGTAGCATGTGATAGTATGGTAATGAGGGAAGACGTTCAAGGTGCATGGAAGACATTGGTAAAATATAAAGCCCCAGGAATTGATGAGACTGGGAATATAGCATCATCCTACATTTCTGGTATTTGTTTTATAAGTAAAAATAATTTGTTTTCTAAGACTCTTATGTTCTAATTGTCTTTATGGTTCTCTAAAAACCTGCTTTTTATATACATGTGAATGATGATAATTACTGTGAAAAACAGGTGCTCAACTCTAGGCTACAGTTCCCTCCCCCTCCTCATTTTTATCTTCTTCCTCCCCCTTCCCCCTTTCACACCCACTCCCCACCCCCACCCCTGTGTATTTTGTGTTTGAAGGGATGAGAGTTGCAAAATAATACCCTTGTCTTACAAGAAAAATTACCCATTACTCCATCATTCAGAGATATCTAGTAGGGATTTTTTGTAATATGTATCTTGCCTACTTTAAACAAAACTTGTAGTATTCGTCTTCTAAAAGTAAAACTTCCTTAGTCGGTAGGCAGTCAGCTCAGTCATTGAGGTTTTTTTATTTTGTTTTTCCTATGTCTGCCTCCATCTTTGATTTTGTGGCATAGACCTTAACAGAGAAACCTCTTTCACTCGTGAGACCTCATAAGTGGTTTCCTTTTGTTTTGTTTTTAGGACATGGTTTTGAAACACTTGCTTCCTCGGCTGTTCTTATACAGGTTCCTACAGGACAGAATCTGTTTGTGTTCTCCTGCCAGGAAAGGCTGGGAGGTTAGATCTCCCCACTTATACCACAGAAGAAAAAGTGTGGTCCCCTGCTTCCATTAGGATTACAGCCAAGGAAGCTCTTTTAGAACTAAGCCCACTTAGCAAACATGGGTCACCACGAAATGGAATCCATGACGACTTGAAACCATTCTCAACAACAGCAACATTCCTAATGCTTCCTGACATTAGTGCTTTTTTTTGATAGAAATCCATTGTGTTGAGGGGAGAAAATGAATACTATTTTTACATTTCATTATTCCTTCTCAGTTCTTCATGAGTCAGATATGGCTTGTTTTTAATTCATTTCAGTCATTTTCTAGCTATAAAACTTAAAATAAGTTACTTCTGAGCCTGCTTGTCCAATCAGAGGAACTTCATGGGAGTTGTGAAGATGAAATAAAATTTGTAAATTGGTTAACACAGTGGCTGGCACCACGAGTAAAGGGAGTTACCACTGTTTTCTTTCCTTAATAGAGTACATCCAAGCAATGATTCTGGTGAATCAAGCAACTATAAATGGCAGTTCAGCCTTCCTAAAAGGTATGTACATCTCTTATACCAAACTCTTATTTTCTTTGTGTGAAGCAGGCCCTCTTTGACATGTCAGGTTAGCTAAACAATTTAAAAGAAAATGTTAAACTCATGTTGCTACATTGTGTAAGACACAGATTTCTTCTATTAAATAGTTTTACCCAGGCTGATAGAGAAGTACACACCTTAGCAAGCCTTCCAGGGAAAGAATGAATAAATGTTCATCTTTTATAAGAAACTTTTTTTCTCATATAAGGGTGAAGATTAGAATATGCTATAAAACTACTTGGCTGAAAAACAGCACCAGAAAGATAAATTCTGGTATACATAAGTTTATAGATCTGTGTTTGATCTTCCAAAGTTTTGTCAGCCCATCAAACTTCCCAACTTTATAGAATTGTAATTTAGGAAAAAAAATGATCAAAGATATAAATGAAAACTGAAAAAAGAAAAATGGATATACTTATCAAAATCTTCTTACATAAACCTTAGTCTATCTCAAATTCACCGAAATGTAAAAAAGTACATTTATTGTTTTTGTTAAGTGTCATTGAGTCAAGCACAACTCATAGCAACCTTATGAACCATATTGTTAAATATTGTCAGATTTTAATAATTTTTGGTTTATTGTCACAAGCTGAAGACCTGTGGCCTCAAATTTCTGATTATATAGGTTAGCACCTTCTCTCTGTTTTAAAGAGTGCTTTTGCTATTCAATAGTATTCACAACAGCAGTGGTGAGGTATAGTTTTGAAGATTAGGTTCTTGTGGGAAGCAATCAACCTTTACCTTTCAATCTCATTTGGAATCAATAGACCCTTAAGGGAGTTCCAGTAGTTTTGCAAGGGAGAGGCTTTTGAATGCAGCAGATGGTAATAATAAACTAATTTTAAACAACTTTTTTCTTCTTGAGAGTATCCTGTTTTCTACTGAAAGAAAGTTGAGTTTGGCTTTTGGACTTTTAACATACTATAAATCAGTATAAATGTGGAATATATATTAATATAAATTGTCTTGTTCATCTGAAATTTATCAGGTTATCTATTTGTAGTGATAAAGCAGTTTTTTAAAGAAAGTAATTTGAGAGTGTTAGCTCTGGTGGCTTAGTGGTTACACTGCCAGCCCCAAAACACATGATTTGAATCCACCAGCTACTCCAAGGGAGAAAAATGGGCACTCTCCAGTAGATGAGGAAACATTCTTACAGCCTTCCAAACTTGTTGGATAAAGAAGCAGAGCTGCAGGTCCTCTCCTTTCCCTTCCTAGGAGTTCAAACGTTCCTACAGAGCCTTTCCTTTCCTGGGGCTCCTCTCTCAATGCAGTAAGGAGCTAATTAGATATTGTAATAAATTACATTTTTAAAAAATGGGCACTCTCCTTCTGTGCAATTTACTGCCTCTGAACACTTGTTGGAGGGTCAGCTAATCAGCTGTGAGCTGGTTGTGACCCCACCATACACAGCAATATAATCGTCATATGTGAGTTTTCAAAACCTTCCAACAGTAGTTTTCTGACTAGCATAGATTTTTAAGATATATGTTGAAACTGGAAGAAACAAAAGAACTCAAGCCAAAACAAGCCACCCCAGAGCCAACTTCAAGTCCCTAGACTATTGCCAAACCACTAATCACTTTATTTTCCTAACTTATCTGTAATTATAAATATTTGCTGTATCTTCTTACAAAAGATTAGGTACTCTTTCTGTGAAGAATTACTTCTCTATTTTATTCCATGATTAATTTGAAAACTTGTGCTTTCCAGCGATTTTATTTTTATGATTATGCTTATATGTGTGCTTTATTCTTTTGTGTAAGCATGTGTCTGTTAGACTCGTGAAAAGATTGGGGGAAAAAGAAGATATTCTTAGTTTATAAAACTTAATTTTTATTACTCTTTTCCACAGTCGTATTTTAAACTTTCTTCTATCACCTAGGTGATTAGAGATACTGTTTTTCAAGTAACCAAGGAGTAGCCTTGAGTATAATTAGATTATAAAAGATTTCTTCATTTAACTTCTATTAATTTTTTAAGAAATAGAACTAGTCTATACACAAAGGTCAATGTAAGATAGAGGAAATATTAATATATTAAAAACATTTTTTTGAATCAGCAGAATAGTCACTATAATTCACGTACCAACTGTTCATAATAAAGCAAGATTCTGTAGTGCTTTTTTAAAATAAAAATTTTTGTTTTAATTGCCATTTTAACAAAAGTTTACAGAAAAGTTAGATTTTCATTCATTCATTGTTGTACATTCTATAGTGCTTTTTAATTAAACAGTCATATTTTTATATTATGATTTTGTTGGATATTAAGAATAGATGAGGTAAAGAAGAGATAGAATTTAGGTATAGAAAGAAATGGGTAAGACCAAGAGAAATATTCATTGCAGTTCATTTTACCTTTTGTAAAAAAAAAACACAAACAGCGACTATACACAGGAACCTCACCTAGTGGAACACATGGAATCAAATTGACTACATCTGTACAAAAACGCAGTAGAGAAGCTCACCATCAGCAGTCAAGACCAGGCCTGTGGAACAGTTACTCATGTGCAAGTTCACATTGAAGCTGAAGAAAATTAAAACTAGTCCACAAGAACCAAAATATGATCTTGAGTCTGTCTCTCCTGAATATAAAAAACACCTCATAAACAGGTTTGAGGCACTAAACACTGATATTTGAAGATCAGATGAGCTGTGGGATGACATCAAGGGTGTATCATCCATGAAGAAAGCAAGAGGACATTACAGTGACAGGAGAGGGAAAAAAAGACCAAATTTAATGTCAGAAAAGGCTCTGAAAATTTCACTAGAGAATCAAGAAGCCAGAACAAAGGGAAGAAATACCAAAGTACAAGAGATAAGCAGGATTACAAAGGACAGCTTATAAATACAAAGTAGTATAATGAAACATTCACAAGGAAATTAAAAGAGGAAAAACTCATTTAGCATTTCTCAAGCCGAAATACCTGAAAAACAAATTCAAGTTTCAAGTTGCAGTACTGAAGGATGCTATGGGCAAAATTTTGAGTTACCCACAAAGAATCAAAAGAAGATGGAAAGGATACTAAGTCACTAAACCAAAGATAATTGGCTGAAACAGAAGCTCTTGAGAGACTAACATATGATTAAGAAAGGTGGTAATAAAGAAGATCAAGCCGTATTGAAGGCATTAGCATAAAATAGGGCCCCTGGAATTGAGGAGATACAATTGACATATTTCACCTAACAAGTGTAGCCCTGGGCATGCTTACAAGGCTGTACCAAGAAGTCTGGAAGACAACTACCTGACCAACTGACTGGAAGAGATCCACATTTGTTCCCCTTCCAAAACAAACAAAAAAAAAACAGGTGATCTAGTAGACAGTAGAAATTATCAAATCTTGATGAAGATTACTTTTAAAATGGCTAGAACAGTACACTGTCAAGGAACTACCCAAAATTCAAGCCAGATTTTCAAGAGGCTGTGGCACTAAAGACATCATTGCTTGTGTCAGATGGATCTTATCTGAAAGGAAAGAATATTGGAAGGAGGCCTGTTTGTGTTTTATTGACTGTGCAAAGGCATTTGTGTGGATCACAAATTACGGCTAACGTTGAGAAGAATAGGAATCCTACAACCTTTAATTGGACTCATGTAAAACCTACAACTAGACAAAGACGCTGTTGTCTGAACAGAGCAAGGGAACCCTGCATGGTTCAAAATCAAGAATGTTGTACATCAAGGTTGTATCATTCCTCCATACCTATTCAGTCTCCATGCTGACTGCATTATTCGAGAAACTGGACTTTATGAAGCAGAATGAGGCATCAGGATCAGAGGAAGACCTTTATTATGTAGAAGACACAGCCTGGCTCACGCAAAGTGAAGAAAACCTGAATTCATGCTTGCTGCAGAAGATCAAAGACTACAGACTTCAATACAGATTACATCTCAACATCAAGAAGACAGAAATCCTCACTACTGGGCCAAAGTCAACATCATGATAGATTAAGACAGGACTGAAACTACCAACAATTTCATCTTGCCTGAAACCACAATCAGCAACCACCCTTGGTATCAGTCAAGAAATCAGGACACATTGCACTGGGAAAGTCTACTGTCAGAGACCTCACCAAAGCACTAAGGAATGATGATATCAGTATAATGACCAAGATGCATCTGATTCAGGCCATGGTCTTTTATTTGCTATGCATCTGAAAATTGGACAATGAATAGAATGACCAAAGAAGAATTGATGTTGTTGAGTTGTGATGCTAGAGAAGAGTAGTGGATATCCCATGGACTGTCAAAAGAACAAACAAATATGTTCTGTAGAAATTGCAACCAGCATGCTTCTCAGAGGCAAAGATGGTGAAACTTTGTCTCACTTACTTAGAGCATGTTGTAATGAGGGACTAGACCTTGGAAAAAGACGTCATGCTTGATAAGGTAGAAGATCAGTGAAAGAGAGGAAGATTCTCACCACGGTGGGTTGACAGTAATTCTAACAATGTGCTCAAAGTGTATTTGAGACATTGAGAATGGCATAAGACGGCAGGTTACAGATCTGTTGTTCCTAAGGTCACTGTGGGTCCTGGTCAACTCAACAGCACCTACCAAGAACAGAAGAGAGGAGAAGAAAAGTAGACCAAAAAGGGGGGGCGAATACCCAAATACCTTACCATAAAAATAGAGATAGTAATAGAATCATGAGAAAATGGTGGGGGGGGGGCGGTGAAATGTATATAACCTGTATATAACATTTAGGAGTTAATTTCTAGAAATAGATCCAGATGTTTACCTTGAAATTTAGTTAAAATTCAGGTTGGACTACAGGCTCTTGAATATTATAGTGAATGATTTTTAACTTGATAGTATCTCACTTTTTTTTTTTAAATAGATGGAACAGTTGTGATGCAGGATGAACAGGAAAACAAATCAAGGTTACTGCCCTCCGCATCGTGTGAACACTTCCCAGAAGACTGTGCATTTCTGTGTGTATATAAGTTGGATTTATTTTATGTTAATGCTTTTGGTCCTTTAAAGTTACTTAGTAATTGCACATTAAAGTAAATTTAGTGTATAAAAAGGGATCCCATTAAAAGCTCTAAAAGCTAGGGAGTTCTGGTGGCCTAGTGGCAAAAAGCTGCATTGCAATCCCAGAGGGATGCGGTTCGAATCCACCAGATGCTCTGCTGGAGAAGGAGGGGCAATGTCTTCCTCCTCTACCAGTCAGATCTGATTTGACGGTACACACACACAAATAATAAAATAAATTTTTTTTTAAAAAAAGAAGCTCTAAAAGTTATAGATTTCTATACTTTATATGTAAAACTTCACAAGTCCTTTAATAGATTGTTTTTCTAAAATTCATCTTAAGGTGTCTTTGTACATATTGAGGTTTTTTTGTTTTGTTTTTATGTATGTTGCACCTAAGAAATTATTTTTCTCTTGCTTTTTTTTCTGATTTGTGGAGCAGTGAAAGATAAATCCCTTATTGTGGAGTTAAGCATTAG